AGACCTGCGCAACCATGTGAAACTTCCATCTCCATTAAGTAAAAAAAGAACAGTAAAGATAGCCACATCCCATCACTATCTCCTTTCCCTGCGTTTATTGTTTTCTTCTTAGGAGCTGACCGACTCCCTATGTTCATTTTTTTCTTTTTTTTTATTTTTATTTTGAGACGGAGTCTTGCTCTGGTTCAAGCTGGAGTGCTAGTGGCATGATCTCTGATCTCGGCTCACTGCAACCTCTGCCTCCTGGGTTCAAGCGATTCCCCTGCCTCAGCGTCCCAAGTAGCTGGGACTACAGGCGTGCGCCACCACGCTCGGCTAATTTTTTGTATTTTAGTAGAGACGGAATTTCACCATGTTGGCCAGGATGGTCTCGATCTCCCGACCTCGTGATCTGCCCGCCTCGGCCTCCCAAAGTGCTGGGATTACAGGCGTGAGCCACCGTGCCCGGCCGGCTGTCGTATTTTATTGTCCTGTTTGCATCTCTCACCTGAATGCCAGCTCCATGAGAGCAGGGGCTGGATTCTGTTTCCTATTCTATCCACATTATCTCCCCCAGTGCTTGTCACATGGTGGATGCTGAATAAACACTTGTTGAGGAAGAGAAGCAGCCCATTAATCTATCCATCCCTTAAGCTGACCCTGTGCTGGGTGATGCTGGGGATGCAGTGGTGATCAAGACAGCCCTGGCCTTGCCCTTCTGGGGCTCACAGTCTGCTTGCCAGACAGCAACACTCCAGAATGGACAGGGCTGGGCCTGGGGGAGCACAGAGGGATATGTGGGGTGCAGAAATGGCACCTGATGCAGCCTGGGGGGCAGGGAGGGCTTCCTGGAGGAGGTGCCTTGACTGGGGATCAAATGACCCAAACAGATAGAATCTTGCACTTCCTCCCGTTCCCTGCCTGCCTCACAGAACTTTTGAGTTTGAGGATGTCATCACTCTAGTTCACACCTGTGCCTTTTCCTGATTTCAGTCTTTCTCATCTCTCCTTTTTTTTCTCATCTCTTCTTTATTGCCTTCTCTCTGCATCTCAGTCTCCCCTCTTTTGCGTCTCTGTTGTTGGCATCTCATCTGTCATCTCAGTCTGGCTCAACCTATTAGAATATTGTCCATTTCCTTTTCTTTTCTGTCTCTCCTTCTCTGTGTCTGCCTCATCTCTGAGGTTCTCTCGAGTCTCTCCCTGTCTCGCTGGGTCTCCGGCTCCTGTGTCTCCTTGTCTCTTCCAGTGAGCTGGTCTCCGCATCTCTCCCTCCCCACCTCTGTTGTCTCCCATCATTCCCTGAGTGTCTCTCTGTGTTTCCCGTTTGTCGCGAAGTCTCTGCACCTGCTCCCTGATTCCCAAATAAATCCAGAACCCCTCCACCCTGGCCCCACCCTGGCACTGGGGGAAGGGGGGCTGATCCAGCCCCCACACCCACACAGGTCAGGCCTTCTGCTCTGTTAATGGTTAACTCAACCTCTATCTAGAATACACACCAGCCAGGCTGGGGGTGACTCCCCTGCCCCCCACCCACTTACCAGCTGTTCTTAAAGGACCAGGTGTCCTCCACAGCAATTTAGCTCTAACTGCAGCATAGGAGCCAGGTGTCTAGAGGCCTCCAGCTCTAAAGATTTGGGGATGGGTGAGATACCCAGCACTTGGGTCTGCAGAGCTGGTCAGGGGAAGCCAGAGGCTTGCCTGGGAGGGGAGCCCCGGCACAGAGCTCCATCCAGGTCTCTCTTGCCCTGGGCTTATCACCTGGTGTATTTAATCAGGGGTGGCTTTCCCAGCCCTGCCCTGAGCCCAGGCTGGCAGTGCCAGGGGTGGCAGAACACCTGAGAGCTGACGGCTGGGGGGTGAGGAAGGATGGGACCCCTCAGCCCAAGAACAGAGGGTCCTCCAGATGCGAAAGTTGACGCCCTAGGGATCCCTAATATCTGGGAGTTAGGACATGTAGGTATGCAAGTATGGGTGGGATCCCTGCCTAACCGGGCTGATGGGGCAGGGCTTTAGAGGCCTCCAGATTTAGGTGATGGGAACCCTGGGTTCCCGAGGGGATCTGGGGACAACCTCGGGTCCCAGAGCTGTCTGACAGTGCTGGGTGGTGGTAGGACAATCATTCCCTATCTCGGTCCATCCGCGGGCCTTTGAGCCCCGCATTCCCCCTTCCCGGAATCTCTCCACCTCGGCTTGGCGGGGGAGGCCGCAGGGGTGGGGGCTGGGCTCTTGGGGCCGCCCCCTCCCCTTAACCCCTGCTTTGCCGCAGCCCGCTCAGGCCCCGCCCCGTGACGCCAGCGAGCAGGAAGTCCTGGTTAATGATCAGCCACCCGGACAGGTGCGGGACAAGGCCGCGCACATCAGAGGCAGCCGCGGGGCGAGTGCCTTTCGCTCTGCTCTCTAGGGTGGCCGCCGAAGGGGCTTGTCTCCCGACACGAGGGCGAGGAGTCCAGTTGGGGCTTCCCAAACGTCCGCCTCTGGGGCACCACCAGAGGCGAGAAGTAGCCAAGTTGTTTCTAGGCATCCTGTTAGTTTACCCCGTGGAGGTAAATTTCCTCTTTCCTCAGGTAGTCCCTCTAGCAGTCTACCCTAAATTCTCCCTTCTACTCAGCAAGAACCCCCTGCCCGTTTCTTCTAGGAAACCTCCCTCTGCCTCTTTCCCCTCCCCACGTAGGCGCTGAGTCCTCCACCTTCCAGGTAGAGATAGGGGATGGGCCAGCTACAGAAGGGTAATCTACTCCCGAGACTGTCTGTGGCTCCCCTACAGGAGCCATCCCCTCTCTGAGCCTCAGTTCTTTCATCTGGAAAACGGGCCGATGGCTAAAACGTGAGCAGTGGGTCGCACTTGCAGAAGGTCGGCCGGCGGGACGGCCTGGGTGCAGGGCGCCACCTGGAGGCTACCGCGCAACGTCTTCGCCCTCGCAGGACTAGTTCAGTCCCAAAGGGGGCGCAGCATCTCACACAACCAAGGGACCAAGAAGAGAAAAAAAAAAAAACAACCCATCTTTCGGTTTATTGAAGGAGCAGAAGGGGGCGGGAGAGGGGGGGCAATAAAATGCTTTTGCCTCGTTTATAAAGAGCGAATTTTCAGAAGGTCCCTTCTCAAGGAGGAGGGGGGCACCTCTCCCCCAACTACAAGCAGCAGCAAAGCCAAGCCAAGGACAGAGGGAAACTGGAGGGGCCAAGGGACCCCAAATATCCCCTCGGACAGGAGCCACAAGCTTTCTCCCCCCACCCACAATGCATCTACCCCAGGGGACCCATCTGGGTGGAGGAAGGGAGTATGTACACAGATAGGGGTGGCACTGGGCTGGGTCGGGGAGGGAATAATTTATCCGCGTCAGCGGTGGATGGCAAAAGGGCAGAGGGCAGTAGCCTGGAGGCAGTGGTAGCCTAGGGGTCCCGTTCTTTCTTAACCTTGATGTCTCCAGCAAGGATGGTGGCGATTTCGCCCTGCATGAAGGCCCAGGGCACGGAGGAGCCGACCAGCGGGCACTTGTCTCCGCTCGGGCAGTATACCTCCCCGGCCGGGCCCTGCGCCTTGATGAACTCCCGGGAGCAGGGAAAGCAGAACTTGTGTCCGGGCACCGAGGGGCACTGGACGAAGTGGGTGTCTTCTAGCCGCTCCCTGCACAGGGTACAGCACAGGGGAGCCCCAGGGGTCGCCCCAGTGCCGCCGCCACCCCCGCTGACAGCTTCGGCCCCCGCTGTGGGACTGACTTCTGCTTCACCGTTGCGGGCCACAAGGCGATGCTGGGTTGGCGGCTGGGCAGTGGAGGAGGCTGCAGGGCTGGCGCCCCCTGGACGCACAGGCCCTCCACCTCCGCCAGGGTCCTTGGGTGAGTGGCCCAGGGCTTCGGCCACATTCTTCAGGGCGGCAATGGGCGAGGGCACACCAGGGGTCTCAGCGGAGTACGGACCTCCAGGTGCCACCCAGTGCCGTTGTTGCTGCTCCTCGGTGGTCATCTTCCCAGCCGCCTCGCCCTCCGGCTCGGGGGATGCCTTGCGACGGCGCGGCGTGGGCGCCAGGTTCCGGGATGGGGCTCGCGGTGGCGGGCCACAGAGAGCCGCAGGGGCAGGCTCTGGGTACTGCTGGGGCAGGGCCTCCGCCGGAGCTGGCTCGCGAAAGCTGCGGACGCCGTCGGTAAGCAGCTCGCCCAGCTGCCGCCATTCTCCTGAGCCATGCCGGCGTTCATATTCCAGGTACTTGAAGCCCGAAGAAGCCAGTGCCTTGCCTGGCTCCCGCAGAGCATCGTGGAACATCTGGCGAGCCACCGCCAGGACGCCGGCATACACATTGCCGGAACCACAGGGGTATTCGGTGAAGAGCTTCAGCTCGAATTCGTATCCTGGAGGACGGGCAGCAGCATCGAAGGCGAACACTCGCCCCACCAGCCCGTGATCCTTCTTGAAGCGCACATTGAACGGGGCGCAGGCGGACAGCGCCAGTAGCTGTTCCCGCACTGCTTTGGGGCGCCCGTGCCATTCCTCTGCCCGGCCCCGCATGGCCTCGTTCAGTTCTGCCAGACAGTCCGCATTCCTCTGCTGCTTCTCTTTCTCGAAATCGGAGCCGAAGAGGGGACGGGCAGGACTCAAGCCGGGTGCCAGCGTCAGGCCTCGGCTTCCCAGGCCAGACACTGCAGCTGCCAGCAGCCCAGGGGGCATCAAGCCAGGCATGGAGCCAAGCAAGGCCCTTCGCGCCCCCTCAGCCACGGCCTCCTCACGGCCCAGCCCATTGGCCAGGCGGGACCCCAGAGTGTACTCCAGGGCGGGCGAGGGCAGGGGGAGGCGGCCCGATGATGTGGCCCTGTCATAGCGGTCCTGGCCCGAGACGCCGCCGCCGGTCCCTGACGGCTGGGGCTGGGCCTGCGGGGGCGGCAGCTGGGGCCCCTGTGCGGCGGCCGCAGCCAGGTCCTTGGTGGCCGGGTGCTTAAGGGCCGGGGGCCCGGGGGAGCGGCCCTCGGGGAGCACGTGGCTGCGCTTGAGCTGGCGGGCGGCATCGATGAGCAGTTCGATGCGGTCCGCGCCCTCGAAGTTCACGCAGCCGCGGCACACGGCCTCGCTGAAGTCCCACACCATGGCCCACGGCATCTTGGGCAGGTCGCACAGGTAGCACCACTGGCGGCGGGACGCCTGCACAGACGCCATGGCCCCAGTCCGCGCGCCGCCCGGCTCCCGCGTTCCACCGGCCGCCGACGTGCGATCCGCGCCGCCGACGTGCGATCCGCGTCCCCGGGACAGCGCGAGCCACGGTCCGGCCTCCGGCTCGGCCTCCCCGCCGGATCCAGGCCCGGCCCCCCTTCCCCGCCCCCTGGGCCCTAAGCCTTTCTGCTCACTCCCGCCTCCCTCGCAAAGGCAGGCTGAGGCACGTCGGCGCCCCCGCCCGGTCCGGGCTCCGAGCCGAGGCGCACAGCTCGGGCCCCACGATGGGCCGCGAGCGCAGCCGCCTCGGGCTCCCGCCGCTCTCGCCGCCGCCGCTGCAACGGCCGCCGCCGCCTCCACCTCCTTCTTCTGCCCCAGAGGCCGCTTCGCAGGGAAAGTTACATAACGCGCCAGCAAAGCCTTCTGGGAAACGTAGTCCCGCCGGGGCCGGCTCTTAAAGGGAACGGCGGGCAGAGGCGGGCTGGGGGGTCGTCGCCTCTCCGCGCGCAGCCCTTATAACCGTCTCCGCGGGGCCGGAGTTCGGCGCGCCGCAAGATGCTGGGACACAAAGGTGGGAGGCCAGTTTGCAATACGAATGATCAGAGCTACTCCGGATTCAGAAATTTTGGGGGTGGGTGGACAGACTTCCAGGCGTCCAACTTCTGCTCCGATTTGTTGTGCAGCTTTAGGCAAAATGTCTTGCCCTCTCTGAACCTCAGTTTCCCCGCCCAGCAAAGGTGGGCCAATGACGGATTAGGAAGGTAGCAGCTTCTGGGGCGGGGCGGAGAAGCCCTGATTGGCTTCAGAGCAGGGAAAGGAAGCTGGCAACTAGGTAGGGGTGGGGGTGGCCACTTGGCACTTCGTCCTCCCCCGGAATCCTAGATATATGCCTCTGGGGCCCGCCACAGCCAGCGAAGGGAGAGGACTAAGGGCTCCCGAGCCAGAGCCTTGCCTCAGTTTTCTCTGCTAAAGAAGGGGGGCGACTGACAGCCCTCTAACCCTGTCCCAGCTGCCCGCGCGCTCTGGTCTCTAACGGGTTACACCGTCGGCTGCTCGGCGTCCTCCACCCGCTTCACTACAATTCCCAAAATGCACTGCGGACGCGGACAAAGTGACGTGCTTCCGCCGCCTGGGAGGTTGGGGTAGGCCTTTCAGATTCACGCTGCTTTACCCGCGCCCCCCCACCCAACCTTTCTGGGGGTTTTTTACGTGCATTCGGAGCATGGCGTTTGGGGGACCCTTATCCTCTGTTGCTCCCCAATTTGAGGGAAGAGTAAGGGGTTAAGAAGTGACGGGCAAGAGGAGGGAGTTGCTGGGGAAGGGCGAACACCAGACTACCTTTCCCCAACCCTGAGCGCTCACTACCTGCAAGGCCCAATCAGGCTTTGAGGACCCTCCTGTCTTCTTTCCCAGGCATTGGGAACACGACGGGGCTGTCTTTGGGGAACGGCGGAGGCGGGTCTCCAGGTTCTAACCCACAACAGCCCCTTTCTCTAGGCCTGGGTCCATGTTAGGTGCTCAAAAATACTTGAATGATGTGCCAGTTGGCCCTGGTTTTCAGTCTAGTGAGGGGCTGCTTGTCCCTTCTCCCGTCCCACTGGAACCGCAGCAACTCTGATTCTGTTACCCAGACTTCACAATTTCAAAATGGTTTCACAATTTTGTCTACTACCTGTATTTGAACACTTTTCTCCCTTAAAAAAAGATTTATTAGGCTGAGGTGAGAGGATTGCTTGAGTCTGGAGGTAACAGGCTGCAGTGAACCATGATTGCGTCACTGCACTCCAGCCTGGGCAACACAGCAAGACCGTGTCTCAAAAAAATAAATAGAGGCCGGGCGCGGTGGCTCAAGCCTGTAATCCCAGCACTTTGGGAGGCCGAGACGGGCGGATCACGAGGTCAGGAGATCGAGACCATCCTGGCTAACACGGTGAAACCCCGTCTCTACTAAAAAATACAAAAAACTAGCCGGGCGAGGTGGCGGGCGCCTGTAGTCCCAGCCTCCGGGAGGCTGAGGCCGGAGAATGGCGTGAACCCAGGAGGCGGAGCTTGCAGTGAGCTGAGATCCGGCCACGGCACTCCAACCTGGGCGGCAGAGCGAGACTCCGCCTCAAAAAAAATAAATAAATAAATAAATAAAAAATAAATAGAAATAAAAAGATCTATCTATTTTTACCTCATCCTAGGTAATACGTTCACAATCATGGGTTTCATCTACTGGTTACCTTAAAAAAAAATCAGTGAAAACTATCGACTAATTCAAGAAGACATTCATATGTCACTTAAAATTGCCTTTCGGCTATTATTTACGAAACTCTAAAGGGAGTTAAGACTTCTGGCCAGATTCAGCCTTCAGGTGGACTGGACTGGCCTCTGACCAGCTGTGGCCTTGGGCAAGTCTCTAAACTTCTTGGAAAAAATGGAGACCCCCTCGAGTCTGTTTTTATTTGGGTACCTTCAGACTGAATGCAAACATGCATATAAATGCTTAGCTTGGTGCTTGGCACAGAAAAGTGCCATAAATGGAAGTTGTTTTTAAGCTGGACAGTTATTCAAATATTCAACCCCTCTTCCGTGGTGGGCAATGCTGGGGACATAGCAGTGACTGAGACAGGCTTAAGCCTTGCCCCTGAGAAGCCCCAGCCTGGTGATGGAGGCAGATACTAAATTTACTCAAATGATGAACTAAAATTTGTGATGACTGCTGTGGGGAGTATGTGTCCGGAAAAGCTTTCCTGGCCAGGCATGGTGGCTCATGCCTATAATCCCAGCACTTTGGGAGGCCGAGGGTGGATCACTTGAGGTCAAAAGTTCGAGACCAGACTGGCCAATGTGGTGAAACCTTGTCTCTACTAAAAATTAAAAAATTAGGCCGGGCGGTGGCAATGGCTCACTCCTATAATCCCGGCACTTTGGGAGGCCTATCACTTGAGGTCAGGGGTTTGAGACCAGCCTGGCCAACATGGTAAAACCCCATCTCTACTAAAAAATACAAAAATTAGCCAGGTGTGGTGGTGCACACCTGTAATCCCAGCTACTCAGGAGGCTGAGGCAGGAGAATTCCATGAACCCAGGAGATGGGTTCACACCACTGTACTCCAGCCTGGGGGACAGATGCAAGACTCCATCTCAAAAAAAAAAAAAAAAAAACTAACTAAGTAAAAATAAAAAAATTAGCCAGGTGTAGTGGCATGCGCCTGTAGTCCCAGCTACTTGGGAAGCTGAGGCAGGAGGATCACTTGAACCCAGGAGGCAGAAGTTGCAGTGAGCCAAGACTGCGCCATTGCACTCCAGCCTGGGCAACAGAGGGAGACTCCATCTCAAAAAAAAAAAAAAGTATAATCTAATTATAGGAAGAAAGACTCTGAGATCTTTATGCCCATTCTACAGGTAAGGACACTGGAAGTCAATGGTTACACAGTTGGCCAGGGCAGCACCAGCACTTGAGCCACGTCTGAGTCCAGAGTGGTGGTGATTACCTATTTTGTTACCTGGCCCTGCAGCAGAGCAAAAGAACCAGTTCCTGCCTTCATGACATTATGGGGCAAATGTGCCTTAAATAGATAAAGGCCTGTGTTCATTTAAAGACACTATGAAAAAGAACCCAGCTGTGTGTGGTGGCTCATGCTTGTAAACCCAGCACTTTAGGAGGCTGAGGTGGGAGGACTGCCAGAGCCCATGAGTTTGAGATCTGCCTGGACAACATAGGAAAACCCCATCTCTAGAAAAATAAAACAAGTAGCTGAGTATGGTGGCACATGCCTGTGGTCCCAGCTACTTGGGAGGCTGAGGTAGGAGGAATGCTTGAGCCTGGGAGGTCGAGGCTGCAGTGAGCTGTGATCGTGTCACTGCACTCCAGCCGGGGCAACAGAGCGAGATCCTGTCTCAAAACAAAACAAAACGAAAAACCAGAAATAAGAAAAGCAAAGAGAAAAAAAGAACAGGACACTGAGAGAGACTCTAAGAGGCAAACTCATGTTAGCCTTGGGAAGGAATCTAGGACTTTCTCCTGGAGGTGACATTTAGACTGGTATCTAAAGGATGAGTAGGAAGATTTCATGTAAACACAAGACTTGATGGCTTTAAGAATTAAAAAAAAAAAAAAAAAAAGCTGGAAAACCACTAGCCTCCCAATTGCCTACCTGTGGAGGGGGCGGGGCAGGTGTAGGTGCTAGTCCCCCAGGCCTGTCTCAGACAGAGCCTCAAGTAATTGTATTAAAAATAAGTTTATTGATATCTTGTCACCACTGGGAGAAAGGAGGGGGTTGAGCTTCGGAAGTCAGAGACAGCAATGGTAGGCAGAGAACCCAACTTATACCTCTCCCATCAGAACTCAATGCCTCCTCTCCCTGGGGTATACACGGCTATATCCTCTTTGTCATCCATATTTTGATTTGTCTCACAACTCCCACCCGCTCCAAAGTCTGGGTTGGGCAGGTGGGGAGTCCCCCACGGGTCAATTCTCTTCAAGTCAAGAACAGGAACTGTTAGGGAAGGGGAGATGTGCAGACCCGAGAGGTTCCCTCCCCACCCCACATAGGGCAATAATAAATAACATGAAATTGATGGCTTAGAAGTCAGGGTTAAGGGAGGCAGCCAGGCAGACAGCACTGTACCAGAGAAAGGGGTTGGGGGGGCCCATTACTGAGGCCCCCCCCAGAGAATCAGGCACTAACTAGCACAGGGAGTGGGTGCTCACATCCCTGGAGCAGGGAGCTAGGGTGCAGCTGGGATGGGCAGAGAGCATTGCCCCCCTCGACTGCGCCAAGCTGGGGAGAGGGGGTGCAGGCAGGAGCATAGATAGTAGATTTCACGGAGATTTCCATCGGCCGCGCCTTTTGCGTGTAGGGAAACCTTTTCTCCGCTTGTGTGGCGGGGAGTCGTGTGGAGGGAGTGGGGCTGGGGGTGGCCGGGGCGCCCCCTCCTCGCTCCTTGGGGCAATGATCACTCCCCTGGCTGCCACCACTGCCCCGTCCACCACAGCAGCCACCACAGACACGGGCTCTGGGGTGATCTCCACCTTGGGGGCTGGTGGGGCCAGGACGGGCCTGGGGGGTGGGGGTGGGGGTGGGGGCAGAGGTGGGGGCAGGGAGTCGACTGAGGTTCCTGGCAGAAGGGGCAGCAGAGCGCTCAGGGCCTCGCTCAGTTTGGCCAGTCCCTGTCGAAGGGTGCCGGCCAGCTCCCGGATGGCGTTGGCAGTCTCCTGCTGGGCCCGCAGGAAGTCCAGGGAGGGGTCTGAGGCCGAGAGCGTGGGCGGAGGCCGAGGAGGGGGTGGGGGGCTAGGGGGTGCCACTTGGGCCAGTGGCGGTGGGGGTGGCAGTGGAGGGGCTGGGGGTGGTGGAGACAAGGCCAGGCGAGGCAGCTGGACCGGCTGCAGGGCGGAAGGGGGTGGGGACTCACGCTCCTTGGGCCGTGGGCAGCCCCCTTCCTGGGGAGTGCAGGAGGGCCGGGCCCATGGCTCCGGGCTGCTGGAGCCCCCCTTGCTGTGGGCTGATGTATCTGTAGAGAGAAATGCAGGCAAGGGGTGAGTGACCCTCAATGCTGCCTTGATTTCCCCTTTCCCCCCTCCTTCCCTAACCTCCCTGCTACCCGAACCCAGAACTATCCTTCCTACCTCCCGCCCTCCAGCCCCAAGATAGTCTTGCTCTGTCACCCTGGCTGGAGTGCAGTGGTATGATCTTGGCTCACCGCAACTTCCAACTCCTGGGTTCAAGCGATTATCCTGCCTCAGTCTCCTGAGTAGCTGAGATTTCAGGTGCCCGCCACCACACCCGGCTACTTTTTGTATTTTTAGTAGAGATGGGTTTTCACCATGTTGACCAGTCTGGTCTCAAACTCCTGACCTCAAGTGATCCGCCCGCCTCGGCCTCCCAAAGTGCTGGGATTACAGGTGTGAGCTACCGCGCCTGGCCCCAGAATGATCCTTTTAAAACCTACGTCAGATCACACCTTGGCAGAGAAGCTCCATGGCAGGCCAGTCTTTGTACCCAGAGGAGAGACATTCGTGCCCGCTTTAGTGGAAGCAGGTCCTGGAAGTCCCTTGCTGGGCCAGGCAGCTCCCATCTCACTGACAGTAAGAGCCAACAGTTTTTCTAGTTTTTAATTTTTTTTTGAGACAGAGTCTCACTTTGTAGCCTACACTGGAGTGCAGTGGCGCGATCTCGGCTTACTTCCACCTTCATCTTTCGGCTTCAAATGATTATCCTGCCTCAGCCTCCCAAGAAGCTGGGACTACAGGCAGGCGCTACCCTGCCCGGCTAAATTTTTGTATTTTTAGTAGAGGTGGGGTTTTGCCATGTTGGCCAGGTTGGTCTCAAACTTCTGACCTCAAGCAATCCACCTGCCTCGGCCTCCCAAAGTTCTGGGATTACAGGCATAAGCCACTGCGCCCGGTTAAGGGCCAACATTTGATGAGGCTCTGAACTATCTGGATACTGCATCACACTGCTGGATCCTAAGGAGGTGAGAGAGGGGCCTGAGAGAGAGCCGGGGTGGCTGGGCACTGATGGACATTTCCCTGAGACTCTCTCCAACCAGGACAGCAGGATTTTCCAGTTCAGCCTCCAGCCTGGTAGGCTTCCTCAGTCTGTACTCACCTGGGGTCTCATTCAAGCTCATGGGCTTGAACAGTTTGCATACAGGGGCTCCCAGCTTCCTGGGCTCAGCCTGAACCTCTGCCTGGGCTCCAGACTCCTGTCTCCAGCTGTGCACTCTTCATTGTCTAAAAACGCCCCAAACTCACTTGCTCAGAGCTGGGCTTCTGATCCTCCCCCAACCTGCTCCTCCCTCAGCCACCCCCATCTCAGCTGATGCAGCTCCATCCTCCCAGCTGCTCAAGTTAAACACCTTCACTGTTTTGTTTACTAAGACACCATCCGCATACAGAAGCTTCTGCCTTCAAATTAAATACATCCAACTTCCTTCTCAGTGGTCCCCACCCTGGTCCAACCACCAGCATCTCCCACCAGGACCACTGTGGTCATCTCCTCCCTGAGGGCTCTCTGCTTCCACCCCTGTCCCTGACAGTATCTTTTTCCACCAGCACCCTGAGGGGTCCAACTAAAATACAAGTCAGTTAGGCTACAGGAAACAAGCTACTCACAAAGAATCACAGATCATAGGGGCCATTTATATGAAATGTCCAAAATAGGCAAATTTGGCCAGACGCGGTGGCTCATGCCTGTAATCCCAGCCCTTTGGGAGGCCAAAGTGGGTGGATCACCTGAGGTCAGGACTTCAAGACAAGCCTGGCCAACATGGTGAAACCCCATCTCTACTAAAAGTACAAAAAATTAGCCGGGCATGGTGGCATATACCTATAATCCCAGCTACTGGGGAGGCTGAGGCAGAATTGCTTGAACCTGGAAGGTGGAGGTTGTAGTGAGCCAAGATCACGCTACTGCACTCCAGCCTGCGCAACAGAGCGAGACTGTCTCAAAAATAAAAAATAGGCCAGGTGCGGTGGCTCATGCCTGTAATCCCAGCACTTTGGGAAGCCGAGGTGGGCAGATCACCTGAGGTCGGGAGTTTGAGACCAGCCTGACCAACATGGAGAAATCCTGTCTCTACTAAAAATACAAAGTTAGCTGGGCATGGTGGCGCATGCCTGTAATCCCAGCTACTCAGGAGGCTGAGGCAGGAGTAGTGCTTGAACCCGAGAGGCAGAAGTTGCAGTGAGCTGAGATTGCTTCATTGCACTCCAGCCTGGGCAACAAGAGCGAAACTCCGTCTCAAAACAACAACAACAACAACAACAACAACAACAACAACAACAAAACCAAAACGCAAATCTATAGAAACAGAAAGTAGATGAGTGGCTGCCAGGAGCTGGGGGAAGATGGGGAAAATGGGAGATTGGGGATGGCTAAGAAGTGCAGGGCCGGGCGCGGTGGCTCAAGCCTGTAATCCCAGCACTTTGGGAGGCCGAGACGGGCGGATCACGAGGTCAGGAGATCGTTTCACCATGTTACGCCAGGATGGTCTCGAATCTCCTGACCTCGTGGATCCTGCCCGTCTCGGCCTCCCAAAGTGCTGGGATTACAGGGTGTGGAAGCCACTGCGCCTGGCCCCTGTACAATTTATTTTTAATTTTATTTATTTTATTCTTTGGAACAGATCTCCCCTCTGTTCGCCCAGGCTGGGTGGCAGTGTGCGATCTTGGCTCACATGCAAGCTCCCGTCTCTCCCGGGTTCACACCAATTCTCCTGCCTCAGCTCCCCG